AAAATTCGTCAGTGCAACATTTGGTCAAAGCAGGGCATCGGTGATGTGTGTGTAGTTCTGCAGCATCCTCTGTTAGTTAAAGTATAATCGAACACACCAAAAACTGAAAAGGCATGTGTAAATTCCTTTGATGCTGTATTTCGATATATATATATATATATATATACACACACACACACACACACATATATATATATATATATATATATATATATATATATATATATATATATATATAGGGAGAGAAAAACAGCCTATCGTGCGCTGAGGCTGGTGGTGGCAAGATTCTGACAGATGGTCTACCCACTGCTGCTACTGTTGTGCCATGGACTCATGTCTTGGACGCCACCTGGTGACGACCGCTGGGTGAGAGTTGGGTTTCGCCCTTCTCCTAGCTAAGAGTCAGGATACCAATCCGCATGAGTCAGTGAACTGACCATGTGCTAGAGCCGCTGTCTTTCGGGTATATAATCCAAAATTTTCCCTGAGGACCTGAGTTGTTTTGTCAAGTGTGGGCGCCCTGCCAGTATCCTAGTCCAAACCCCGTCCTCTTCGGAGGTTAGGAAGTGGTCGATGGTCCTCTTCCCTTAAAACCTAGCCATGGGAGACAACAGGTCCAAGGGTTGTAAGGTCACAGCTCGATTGGCGTAGAGCACGAGCGCCACGCACTGTCTCTGACAGAGGGAGGGCAAATCCGGGTGCTCAATGATTTGCCACTTCCCGCCCCAACAGCAGTATCTGCGCCGTATTACGCACAACAGCTGGAGTGACCGAGTTGCAGACACGGGTACTGCGACGCAGCGGCACGTGTGCAGGGGACTGTATACTTGTGCTGAGGAATCTGAGGTGGCGCGGGCATATTCGCCGCATGGATTCGACCCGGATACCGAAACAGCTAGTTTATGGCCAACTGAGTGCAAGGAAACGGCATGTGGGAAAACCAAAAGTTACCTTGTCAGGACATGATCAAGGTGAGCCAACCACGTTTTAATGTTGATCTCAGGTGTTGGGAATCGAAGGCGGTTGATCGGCGTGCATGGCGCGATCTGATCACGAAGGCAGGTGCCGAGGTGCAAGAGAAATCCCTCGTGCATGCGGAGAAGAAACGGCTGGTGCGGAAGCGATAGGCGCCGATGGTGTGTACTCCATCGATCTCGGGCACATGGTGCTGTAGCAAGTGCGGTCGCGAATGTTTGAGTTAGGCAGCTTTAGTGAACCACGAGCGAGGCCACTCGGGTCCAGCATCGAAACGATGACGGGTCCTGTTGAGAAATTAAGCAAAGCCGGCGAAGCGTTGGTAGGAACGCTGTATTAGTTTTATTAAACGCTTGCTTGCGTGTTAAGTTGCTTTATTTCAGGTTTGTTGGCTATATTTTGTTAGCGGCTTTTGATACCAATCTTCTTTAAATTTTTTCGCGTTTGTTGCAAAGGATATTGCAATCCCTTTTGTGCCATCTTGAACTTACCGCGGATATGTTGATAACCCATTTATTTCACATGCTAATATAAAGAAAAGTTACGTCAGCATATGAGTATGTCTTATTCGATATTTTTATTTGATATCGTCATTTTAAGTGATTGGCTGTTGCTTGACATCCCGGGTGCGGCTGCACTTGAAGCGCATGTTGACAAGGTGCCTGCCTTTCTACTACCCACTACCTCGTCCATACTGGCTCCAGAAGACAGTTGGTCTTTGCTGGTGGGGACGGGGAGTACGCTCCTCTTGACTGTGTTGGGCACAAGGAGTGGTTCTATGCACATGATTTGTGTGTGGAGTGGACTACGGTCTAGCCACCGCCTTGTGTGCACCTGATTCCTGAGATACAGCGCGCTTGTGTTTGCCTGTGAAGGAGTGTGTGCCGGCTCCGTTGATGAAACGTGGCTCCCATCCGCATACCTCCCGGTCTTATTCCTTCGGGTTTACACTGGATATGGGGTGTGTGGATGGAGCTGTGGGTGATGCAGCGCAAGCCACCCATGGTCCCTCTGTAGGCGCAGGCGTCCTGTGGCTGTCCTCTGGAAGCCGCTGTGACAGGCAAATCCGGAACCGGATGCCGACAACATAGAAATATGTATATATATCTCGGCAATAATTCCCATGAAATCAGATCATAATTGCACGACGAACATTTGATCGATAAATCTCATCAGGCATTTATTGAGCACAAAAAACGAATTGGCAAATCAAAACTAGGTCTAAATTAGAAAGAACCACGAAATCCACACGATCTATTGGCTTGACATGGCTGGCCATCGATCAATGTCTTAGTCAGTCGAAGTACGCCGCTCGGACAAAACACACACAGTAGGTGAGGGCAGACAGATCAGCGGTGACAAATGCTAGTCGTCTGTCATGTTTGAGGTGAGGATCTCTCGCCGGAGTGCGTTCATGGCCACGGTAGGACCATGTTTTGCACCAACGTCCGTTGTTTGCACAGTTCTGGTTTCAAAACCCTGATTGTGATGGCCTCGGGTGTTGTTAACAAGCGTTTCTTAGTTCTTTAGTGTATCGTTTCGGGATAGTATATATGACTTTGAATGAGTCATTTGCCTGAGTCTGGTGTCCTGTGTCAACCAAATGCTCAAGTATCAAACTGTTGATGTTCCTTGCGTTGCCTTTTCGTAGCGAAGCAGGGTAGTGTTCAGCGATCCTGTTGCACAGGCGCCTGGTCGTATGTCCGAGGTACCTTGCACCACAGGTGCAAGTGAATTGATATAGGAGGGAAGATTCGGACCGGACCGGGAGTCTGTCCTTCAGGCGCTGGGAAATCAGTGGTCTAGTTTCAGCGAGCAACTTAGGGTTGGATGCCGGGAATGTTTGAGCCATTGCGGTCGACAGTTTTCTCCACAACAGCTCAAAAGCAATGTCCTCTTTAAAAGGAACTGTAAGCAAGACGTCCTTTTTCGGTACTGTAGTGACAGCATTGGTAGAATGGGGCAGTGTAGAGTGCTTTTTAATGAACTGGGGAGGATATCCATTCTCCTGCAATGTGCTGAGAATAAGCTGAGTTTCACTGTCCATCGTCTCAGGGCTGCAGATGGCCCTGGCGCGATAAAAGTGGCATCGGACTAAGTTTCGCTTGTATCTCAGTGGCACACAGCTGAGAAAGTGGGTGTACTGGTATACCCACGTCACTTTTCGGAATACGCTTCTTTCAATTGATCCATTTTCTCGACGGTGCAATAGCACGTCTAGGAAGGTTAGCTTCCGCCCTTTCCAGCTTCAATGGCAAATTTTAATGACGGGTGTGCGCTGCTAAATTCGTCTAGTAAATCGTTGCTATCAGTGGAAGCGTCACAGACGATGAATGTGTCGTCCTGTTGTAAAGCTGCCTTCGTACTGCTGCACTGCTGCTATTCTGCGCCTGCGAGACTACGACCGCCTGATTGCTCAGTCACGCGCCCAACCAACAGACAGGATAAAGAAGGCCAAGGCTCGGTAAACAGGGAGTCTATTCTACACGACAGGTCAATTCAATCTATTGGTGAACGAAACATACTAATTTTGGAAGCGTTTGGCTCTCAGCCAATGTGAGTTAGTTCCGTCCCACGGATTTTCCATATTTGGCAGAATGGTTCGCCTCCGTTGACTCGGGCTTGTATTTGCTGGCCAATCAGTTTGCATCCGATTCCCAAATTTGGCAAAACAGTCGAAGGTCGTTCAACACTCGTGCTGGTGACCTTCGCATGCAGCAGACAGCTCACGTGCTCCGCAGTAAGCCAGTGCGCGACCTCGTATCTGGACATTGGCTCCGCTTACCTCTCTATTACGTCCACATATCTGTAATATGAATCGAGTCGCGCGATCAGGTTGCTAAGTCGTCCGCGCTCAAGTTTCGCAACGAAGCTATCTGCCAAGAGCGGGTTTAGGGAAGAGCTCATTACAGTCCCATCTATCTGGCGGTAGTAAATTCCATCAAAGAAGAATTGTACGTTGAAAGTGCATCGGAAGATCAATTCTTTCAGCTTTTACACAGGTATACCAATGTTCAAGTTCCTTTCAGTGAGATAATCACAAATGAAATTCACTGTTTCTAACAATGGTAAGTTAGTGAAGCAATTGTACATCAAAGGAAAACATCATTTTATCACTCACATTTAAATCTTCTACTCGCTTAATAAAATCGAACGTATTTGTCACAGTGTGAATAGGTAATTCTTTACGTACCGGTTCAAGCAACTCCTTGAACCAGCTGCCAAAGCCGAATTAAGGAGTTGACTAAGGGGACACCACCCCGAGTCTTCGGCAGCCGGAAGAAGTGAGGAAATATAGCACATTGGGAGTCGGCCACAGAGTAGTCAGTACATATGCCATGTGTATGGCCTATTACCAAACAGGGGAAAAACCCTCTGCAAAATTTCGGTATCAGATTGCTGTACCGGCAGTGACTTTATTTAGTGGCAAAGCATATCCATAACGTCGCAATGTCGTTAAACGGATGTCTTTGACTCTTTATGAGGAGAACGCTAGACAAGTGAAAACACAACACGTTCTGGATCAATGCATTTCCCCTTGAAACGAACCTCAGCAAATTCAGTCACGTGGGCTGTCTGAAGTAAATAAAGATTCGAGGTTGCACGTTCGAAGCGCCGCACACTACGACCGGTTTCGTAATTGCATGTATTCGTCAAATGCGCATAGAAGGACTGCGACTGGAGCTCAGGACGTTGGAGTATTTGCAGAAGCTTTTTAGATGTCTGAAAACATAACTAGAGAACCAGGTTTTTGGACCTTCACTGCATCTGGCCCTGGGAATCAAGTCGAGCAATAATTAAGAAAAGGAGAAAAGTAAATTCAAAGCTGCAGCCTACGAACCTACGGCTGAACGACAGCAAAGGCAGCCGACACGAACGTGATCTGCCGAATGTCACATCAAGCTGAAACAGAGAATGGTATGTGGGGCGACAGAAAGTTGGCTTAACTGAAGCTAGGTGGACGAAAAAGCAGCTGGCCCAAAAGCTGGAGGACGCAGACTGGGGATGAAAAGAAGTGATAAAGATCAAATATCATTCATGTCCACAGTAGAAGACACAATGGGCGAAGGATAGTGCAAACAAACGCGAGTCCGAAAGCCGGTATTTACAGCCGCAACATGAAGAGACTTACCCGAGTGAACAAAACCATCTGAGTCTGCAGTCACTTCGTCCGTCACCGACTGGATTCGGTCAACCGCATCCGTTGAGCAACTATGTAGCGTATGACGTCTGCGGCGTTTTCGCAGCCGCCTGAGCGAACTGAAGGGTGGCTCTGCTTGAGACTGGTTACTGCTCTCCAGACGATTCATGATGCTCCCCTCCTCTGGTATGGAAGTGATCATAGAAGAGGAGATGGAGGGGAAGGGATCTAAACCGGAATCTGCTTCGGAAGTAACGGTGGAATGGAACATGTGGGCTGGGATCACCGACGTCCCAGGAGGCGGATTCAAATGGAAAGAAGTGGTGCATGTTATGACGCGACCGGTGTCATACGAGGGCGACACACCAATAGAGCTGGGAACAGTGAATTCATCAGTCGGAGGTAGATAATGTGTTAGAGGTAATCGCTCGGAGATGGCTTCGGCATTTGAATCACTGCTCTGCGAACCGTAATAACTTTCCGTGATAGACTCGGTGTCAGTGATCTCCAGATTATCCCTCAGATGCCACACATAGCCAAGGTTGTCCTCCGCCTGATCCAGTCCAATTTTTGTGGCCGCCAATTTGTATTGCAGTCGACTCAAGACTTGTTCGAGATCATTCAAATCTTCAGAAAGGTCGACTGCTCTCTTGACCAAGTCGGTGAAAGGAAGACCAGCATTGGGGCATCGCGTGGACGAATTGGAACCATGCGGGGACGGGCGAGTGGGTGACCCATCAGAATAAGTGGGGACTCCCCGAGAGTCAAGCAACGAGAGCAAAGTTTCGAACAAACGAAGTGATTGAGCCTCATCTTCTTGACGAAAAGAATTGCTGCACGAAACGGACGAAGATGAGCTGTTGTTTTGGGGAGTGTTCATGTGACCTTCTGAGTATATCTCGTCATACTCCAAATCATCCTGCTCCAGGGAGCTTGGAAATTGTGGAGTAGACGGAAGCGCAGAAGTGTGTACCAATCTGTCAGTGTCTTCGGGTAGAGTGGTATATGTATTTGAAGTAGCTCTGGGAAAGTTTGGATGGGACTGTACATCTATGCATTCAGCGGAATCCGATGGGCTTTGGCGAAGTAAGTTCGTTTCACCAACAGGCAAACAGCTGGAGGAGATCTGCCGTTGTCTGGGAGAGCAATAGGCAAGAGACCACGTGGGATGAATCGCTTCAGGAGCGGCACGCCAATCTGAAGTGTGGAACGTTGGATGGTGTGATGAATTGAGGGGAGGACTTTTGTGGGAGGGTCGCGAACGGGATGGAATAGGCGAAGCACTGGTCAGTCGAAGCGAATCCTGATTGCAGAGAGAATGGATGGAAGTAGAGGGATATTCAGGTGGCGATTTCTCGCTGGGAAGAAGCTTGTGGTCTGGAGAGATCGGGAAAACTGGCAAGCCGTTACCATCGAATGAGATGAGCCGCTCTTTGGACAAATCTATGCAAAACGGCAAGAGCATAAAAAGCGAAAACCAAAGTTTATGGTTAAGTGGTACCAAAAAAGTGTTGAGAACAGAACTGCGTTAAAGTAGTCCAAAATATGATAAAAAGTAAACGGAGGAAACAGGGTTCAGGTAAGACGCTTCCGAGTGTCACAATAGGCGGGTCCTGAGTTTGACTATTTGGTCGGCTGTAAAGTGAAACGACCTAAAACATTGCGGTAAGCCAGGGAAGCGATGGAGAAAAGTTGAGAATTGCGGCTAGGGTTGGTTTCATTCGAGTACTGAAGGTGAACCCGTCTTCCTATTAGACCATGCGCAGCGTAGTACCTAAATGCAACGTCATGCTTGTTTCAACACCAACCAGCCGAGCACAAATTGCGTGAATTCGACGCCGAAAGAGCGTGACAGCTAACGGGAGTGTTGCATGAATCAACAGAGAGAGAGAGAAAGTGAAGTTAAAATTAGCGAGTGCATGCTTCGTCCCCAACTTCCCATCTTCACATCAATGGGAGGTTTCCACCAACCCCAGCGCAGTAAAAATCGTGGCCCAGTGGAGAGGACTGACTAATATATGAACGATGGAGGAGAAGCTGAACCCCGAGAGTTTCATTGGGGGGGGGGGGGGGTTAGCAGTGACGACAAGGCATGTTGGGGTGCGTCTAAAACGCTTGCGCTTTAGGTTTAAGAAAAAGAATAACATATGTGCGATCAAACAAACTGATAAAATTCTCAAGGACTTTCAAGACCGACATGAAAGAAAGTTTGTCACAAGAGACACAAGCGCTAGCAGTTCCCAGCTGCAAACACATGTTACATCGCTTAGTAAGAGTCAGATACGAAGCACAACGTCAAAAACCTATAACCATTGCTTCATCAGACGGCAGTCTGACTACCGACCCTGATGAGCCCTGTGAATTATTTAACAAACATTTCTCACCCTCTTTAATACAGGCACCTGTGTTGCATAAGAAAGATTGCCTCTACTCACCAGCGAAATAATGGATACAGTTGAGTTCAACCTGTATAGAATTAGAAGGAAAATATCCGCTCTAAAGCATTCTTTTCACCCCGGACCTGACGGCATACCACCAGCATTGTTTAAACTCGCTGGGCCCGATATTCCCTTGTTCCTGCTAAACATATTCACCTTGTCAATTAAGACTGGTGTATACCCTGCTAAGTGGAAGCATGCCACCGTCCCACCCCGAAACAACGGTGGATCACATCACGAGTTATCAAATTAGCGTCCCATTAGCCATACTCCCATATTGATTCGTATTATGGAAAGAATAATCCAAGAAAGAGTCATGGAGTTTCTTAATTCACACAATCTGATCGACAGGTCGCAACATGGATTCCTCCATGGTCGTTCATGTCAAACTTGCCAATTTGAATTTCTGAACTACGTAACCAAGTCGACTGACTCTGGACAGTCGATGGTTATTCTCTTCCTAGACATGGAAAAAGGATTTGACCGCGTACCCCATGCAAAAGTTCTAGCAAAGTTAACCTCTTTTGGGTTAGCTAACCCATTACTAGCATGGTTGTCATCTTTCTTGTCTACACGCACTCAATGTGTCAGAGTGGAAAACTGCGCATCTTCACCTATACCAGTAACTAGCGGTGTCATACAGAAAAGCGTATTAGGCCCACTGCTATTTCTACTATACATAAATGACATCTTCCCAATCTTCTGACACGGCAGACCCTTTCGTTTCGCCGATGATAAAGAAGTTGTGCTCGCATTTGATAGCATAAATGAACCAAACGATGCTCAAACAATACAAATGGAGCTCTACGCCCTTCAGCGGTGGTGCCGAGAGTGGAGAACGACATTCTCTGTTGGCAATTGTAAAGCTCTATCCTTCAGATTCAACCTTATTTAAGACAGGCAAACTACCTGCTACACAACGATTCGTGACCTTGGAGTACGTTACACAAGCTCCGTTAATTTCTCCGAACAGGGTCATCATTTAACAGCCAAAGCGAGAGTTATCATAGCACGTATTTCCAATACCTTACGTTTGAAAGACTCTAGGCTAGCTATGAAAAAAGCATACGCGCGTGCAGTCTTAGAATATTGCCCATTAGTATTCACAAATTAAAAAAATGTAGGACACAATCAATCATGAAAAAGTACAACGTTCCTTTACCAAACGGATATTAGGGTTTGGATCCTTGACTTATCAACAACGGTGTAAACTGCTGAAGCTGGAACCATTATGGTTGAGAAGAATTAAGATTAATCTTATCTTCCTGATTGTTTAAATGCTTACCAGTTTTGGGGAACCAGCTACTGTCCAGTTTGGCATTTTCCATCATTGGCCAACTAGAAATACATCATTCAGCTTTTGCGTCCCAAGAGTGCGTACAAGGTTGCGCGCCAAATTTTTTCACATAAGGAATAGAACCTCATGGAATAAGCTGTCGGAATCCACTAGATGCAACAACACTAGGCATATATTTCGGGCTCAAGTATTCAAACATCACACCGTAGAGGAGGTATTACGTATACTGGGCGAATCTACAACACTAGACGATATTTATGAGACAGGCCCCATAGAACTTTAAAGGTCGAGCCTCACATCTACTGCGTTCCAAATGTTGCTCGGCTTAGATCTCACCTTGTACATTAAGCTCTAAGCCTGCTTAGCTGTCGTTTATATTTTCCTTTTTTCAATGTTCAATGCTTTATTTGCCACATTGGGCTACCGGGTTGCTTAGTGTTAGAAGGTTTCCGTTCACTTCGTTTCACTGGCTCTCCTAACCGTCCTGTACTGGTTACAGATCATCGCAATGAGGCTGGACCTTACCGTGGTGCGATGGTTTGTGTGCCTCAGTGATCCATTAAGCTAAGCTTGATGGTGCATTTTTGCACCTTCAGAGCCACTCATACCATATTGGTCAATGGTTAGAGGCCAGACAAACTCAGCCTCCTGGTCATCCAGGTTGGGGGTTGGAATGAGGGTGGCTCCCTATCCCTTAAAACGGACTCCTTGTAGCCCAACGCAAACCCGCTGCCTTGCGGTCAGGTTTTTGAACCAAAGGCTTTGGTTGAGAAACCTAATCGTTCTCCTGTCTAGGCCTAGGCAACCTGACAGTATCCTGCCCACGCAATACAATGAATCTCTCTGCAAACAAATTTCTGATGCTCTGGCCACCACAGACGATAATCAACGGTGCCGTATCTGCTGCATCGAGTCGGGTGGATAGAGGTTTGGATGCTACTGCTCAAGCCTTCCCGTCTTCTTATTCCCTCTCTTAGGGTTTTTCACTCCTATCGTCCCGTTCCAGTTTCACCTTTATCCTCCCTGTTTTCAACCCCCCAATTCTCGGCCCTCCCCCACCTTGCTTCAATAGTCGCTTGTCTTTTAGTTTCAACCCACAGGTGAACGCAGAGCGTCATTTCTGCACCGTCAACAGGCCCATGTCCAACCAAGCGGCCCATTCCAGTTCATCGGCTTCCATTTGGAGCCCTCGATCCTCCTTCAGACTGGCATGCCTCAATGTTCGCACATTGCTTCAGATCGGTCAACAGGCAGCACTTGCCCGAACATTGGAGACCCTCTCGATCGATATCTGCTGCTTATCGGAGACCCGCCTGCAAGACTCGAGCTCTGTATTCACTCTGCGATCCCCTTCAGGTGACACTAGCAGCACTTTCTCATTGCGCCTATCCAGTGACGATGCAGCTTCGAGCACCGGCCAAGCCGGTGTTGGTATTGCCCTGTGTCCTCGGGCTGAAACTGCTCTGGTTGATTGGATTCCAATCAGTAGCCGGATGTGTGCGGTCCGATTGGCTGGCTCGTTCAAAACTTCGAAGTCGCTTGGGACTAACAGGTGTCTATTCGTTATCGCTGCCTATGCACCGACAAACTGTAGCGATGACTCGATAAAAGACGACTTCTATCGCCAACTGAACGAACTCCTTCGCCACAGAAGAAGCTCGGACACTGTAGTGCTGGCTGGGGATCTGAACGCTCAAGTTGGAAAATTATCTACAGATGAGCTGCATCTGGGCGGCCAACACGGTATAGACTCCTGTAATGATAACGGTGAGCGGTTACTTCATTTGTGTGAGGATGCTCGCTTATTTCTTGCGAGCACTAATTTCCGACACAGCACCCGCCGGAGGGTGACTTGGCGCCCACCAGCCTCGAACCAGCTATGGACGCAAATCGATCACATTGCTATCAGTTACCGCTGGAGAGGCTGCGTCCAGAACTGTCGCTCGATTTGGAGCACAGGTGTTGACACCGATCATGCACTTGTATGTGCTGACCTGCGGATGCGCTTTGGCGGACGCCCGCGACGATGTTGTGAGCGCATTGACACCGGCAGACTGGTGAATCCAGCTGTTCTGAACGCCTATCAAATTACGCTGTCATCCGAGTTGGATAAACGCTCACTGGTCTCATATGCAACAGGCCTTACTAGCAGCAGGCAAATCCTCATGTGGTGTGTCTAATCGCCAACATGAATATTGGGTCTCTTCACAGTCTTTGGAACTTATCGATGCTCGCCGGCATATTCCGGCTGGAAGCGAACACAATGAAACTCGCAAAGAGCTCCGGGCGAAACTCCGTGCTAGCCTGAAGAGAGACCACGAATCCTGGTGGTCTCATCGTGCATCAGAGATGGAAATGGCCGCTGCCCTTGGTAACCATCGGTATTTGTTCCGTCTGATACGAGAAAGGGGCAGCAGAAGACCTGGTGTTAGTGAAACTATACGTGACGAGAGTGGACAGCCTATCCACAACTTTTCAAAACGCCTGGAACGTTGAGCTGAGCGGTCGGAATTGGTAGATTTCTCGCCGGTCACTAATCGCCCGTCTCCTTGCGCTGTCGATTTGGATCCACTCTCCCGCTGAAAGTCAAAAGTGAGATCGCACTGTTAAAGTTAAATAAAGCCGCGGGACCAGATGATCTACCTCCAGCTCGCTTCAAATTCGGGGGACCTGCTCTTGTGGACGATGTACACAAGTTACAAGTGAAA